TGAAGAAACGCAGCAGACATGGTCACTCTTCTCCGACTCCAAAGCAGCCCTCCAGAGCATTGCCTCGCCATATCGTCATGGACCAAATGAACAGCTAACTGCTGAAATACGACTGCTTCATCACCGGGCTATAGAGAAACAACATGACATAGCGTATCAATGGATACCAGGCCACTGCAGCATTGATGGAAACAACCGTGCAGATGAAGCAGCCTGATCTGCTCATGATGATGCCCCTTGTGCAGCTATACAATCATCAAGAACGGACGCCACTGCAATGCTTCGATCACTTGCACGAGAACTGACACTCGCTCAGTGGAATTCACCAGCATTCACCAACATCCGCCTTCCTAATTTGGACGCACACCTACAGCTTCGTCTTCCATTAGGAATTACCAGAGCGGAGGAGACACTTTTGTGCCATTTGTGGATTGGGGCAGCCTTTAAGAATGCTTGTTCGTTTCGAATCGGAATGGCCAGCAGCCCGACATGTGACAACTGTGGCTGCGCAGAGACTTTCTCCCATCATTTCTGCGAGTGTCCTCGCTTCAGTGTGCCAAGACAAAAACTGCCAAAATTTTAGATAGACTAGACAATCGCCAATTGTCGAAAGAAAGGGTATTAGGACACTGGCCGAGGCCGTCTTCCGCACGCAAGGCATTGAGAGCGTTGTTGCGCTTTCTGCAGGCAAGCGGTCCTAGAGACAGACTGTAAGCGGCGTCGTGAATTGTCTGATGACCTTCTCTCTCCCTTTTTTTCGTCTCTTTTCTTTCATCTTTTATCCTTCTCACCTCCTTCCCCAGTACAGTGTAGCCAGCCGGTCTGAGAACTGGCTAACCTCCCTGTCCTTCTTCTTTCAAACCTCCTCCTCCTCCTCCTCGATGACATATAAACTACCTCAAGAAGACAAAACTATAGTTTAAAGGTGTTCAATAACCTGACTGCGTGCAGTTCTTACAGTGTTAAATGGATATGTACGAAGTGCGATTGCTGCTGGTAAGAATTAATGGTGATCATAAACGTACCGCACGGGAAAACTACCACGCGGTGCTATATGGAGTTTGCTGCTTCGACAGCTTCTACATAGGACCGACGGGCCACTGCATCAAACAGAGATTATTGGAACACGAGAGATCACTAACCGAAACCTCACCTGATATTTCTTTACTATGTCGAGAGTGTGAGTGCCCTCCTAAATTTGCTGAACGCACAGTTTTGTAAAGACAGAGGAAGAAAGCACCACTTTGATGATTAGACATGGCATGTAGCAATGACCGCAGTAGCGCATGAGCCAGCCAGCCGTCGATTACCTTCCTTAAAGATGAACTCAAATTCCTCAACTCTTAACTTCATGTAGAACTCCACGCGTGCCACACTGATAGGTTCCAATATTTCATAGGCATGCGCAGATGTGCTTTCGTGTCTTCTTTTTGTTTCACTATTGAGAGGTGCTTCAGTTGTTAGTATGCGTTTTGTGGTGTTCTGGCTTCTATCTTGTGCGCGTGTTTGCAAAACCCGTCTTTTAGATTTAACTATGATAGTAGGATCTGTCTCTATAAATGGGAATATTACTGGGCCCTATGCTGCACATACCTAAAGCATTGCACCCGTAGTGGTCACCTGGTAGGCCTGCGTTTGAAAGGAGGCTTGATTAAGGGTGTGCCACCTACAGATTGGTCAAGAGAAACACAATTATCGGCCACAACCTGTGCACGACAGTTGGCGCAGCAGGGAATCTCTTCGAGTTTTGCTGTCCTGTGCAGGGCTGTCCTGTGCAGGTTCTTCCTGTTGCCTACCAGCAATGACGACAATGCAAGCAGGAAACTCTTCTAGCATTAGGAATTGAGAAAGGACGCTCCCAATTTTCGCATCCGCATCTCAAAACGGAAGAAGCATTTTTCGTTACACGAACGGAGACGCGTAGTAATGTATATATTATACTAATAGGTAGGGTCTTATCACATCATTTATTTGCAACAGAAATCATACATCCAGCAATAAAGTGACACCACCTTATATAAAAGAGAGTACAAAAAGCACCGGGTGAATAATTCGTTTTTGTGTGAACTTTCAGCGAGTTTTTCTCTAAACGTACGCTGTTTCAATTAGCTCTTTCTACAAGTTCTTCAATCAATGAGGACCAATTTTTTGACCTTTTGTAGCAGAAATACACGAATTTTGCTTATCCTCTGAAACTGCATGCCTGACAAAGCTCTAACATTAGGACATGTTTAATTCTATTAAGGTTTACACTGAACCTTGATAGCATTCAATGAAAGCTGAAAGAGTGAACTTAAGACAAACACTGATATAGCACTGGGCAAGAATTTCTCAAAAATTATAGTTAGAGCCTCATTCATTTTGTTCCTAACAATTTTAAAAGCTGCATGCTGAATGTAGTTTGCAACATAGGACACATTGAATTCTATACAAAGCTTGATACTGAGGAGTGGACTGCATTCATCGAAAGCTCAAAGGAGTGCGTTTCAGACCAACACTCTCGTATCACTGGAACCAAATTACTCAAATATTCATTTTATTTTGTTTTGTTCCTCACACTTTTTTGTGTAGAGCGAGAAGCGGTGCTATATTATTACGTTTTACAAAGACCTATTAATTCATAACACCGTATGAGAACAAAAAATGAAAGAACTTGAAACATCGTTTTAGAACATGCGAGCCCATTTTTTTACTTTCTCAAAATAAAATTTGGTGACAACCAAGGTTAGCCATGTTAAAGCCATTAAACCATGCGAAAGAATTTAACAGGGTTTGATAATTAAGGCTGCAGTGGCTAAAATGTACCAACCAGCCCTCATAGTACCGTCAATTCTGCACCCATTTGTTTGAGTAAAATATATTACACTCCTTCCAAGACAAAAATCACTGTTACAAGAAAGAGGTCTACTCGCAAAGCCTCGTTGTTGTGCGCCAGTAGGGTAGAGCGGCCGGCCAGTGGCGTCGACAAGGGGGCGACACACTGGGCCTATGCCCTCCCCATGAAATGTTTTTCTGCCATAGGATATATCTTAGATTGGCACTGAACCATCTGCCTGCACGAACCGAACTTCAGATCAAAGAGGAGCTCCTCTTGTCCCCCCCCTTCCCTCAAAAAACAAATTTCTGCCTACGCCCCTCAGTGCCCGGCATCAATCGTAACAGACAGCTGCAAAAGATGCCTTTGGCTCGAATTCGAGAAGCGTAAAAGAACGTTTCTTTTATTCTATTCGCGTGACTCTTACCTTAGTCACTTCCGTGACAGAAATCCGTTATTTAAAATTCGGTGTACAAAACAATTTCCTCTTCGATATGTCGGTGTCATTGGTGGGGAATCAGAAAGTAATGTATGAAATACATTGAATAGTAAAAAAAGAATAGTTAATGAGTACTTCCCATGCTTTTACTTCTGAAAGAGTACATAAATCATCGACTATACGATCGCTTGTTTGGTTCAGCCAGGTAAAAGTACAGCCACGTGTGAACAGAAAAACCCGCCCGCGTTCAATTTTTACTGTTTCCTCTATAGTAAGCGCTGACCTCAACATGAAGCATTGCACACACAGCTCTTGACGTAGCAGCCTGTATCCCTGTTCAGTGATGCCGAGATATCTTGTCGAAGTAGCAAAGGATTCCATGAAGCCCAAGCAACAAATTTTCGTTAGCGCTGATGGAACTTGCAGTATCAATAATACTAATGCCCAAATTTAGGCAGCAAAATAGAACACCCGACCGCTTTGATTTGCGTGGCGAGCGAGAGTCCTTAGGGCCAGGCAGCGCGGCCTGGCTCACACGTGGCGTCATGTTTTGTTTCCAGATATCGCTCCTGCTCAGTGTCTGCAGTTCGCCGTCAAAGATAACACTGCGTCGTGGGCCACTGGCTGTACCCAACTGCATAGAATAATGCAGTGAAAAATGAACGGCTCTCATGAATAGTATCTTTTGACAACCACGAGAATGTACGAATTGCAAAAAAAAACTGAATAAATTAAGCGTACAAAAAGTTTGCTGTTCTTATACAACTGCCTCTGATTTCAATGCGATCGTATCACTTTTTCTGGGCTTACTTGGCTACCTCATAATTCACGTTGGGACCAACGGAATTGAACGCATCTCCTTTCATTGCCTTTTCTCACGCTGAAACAAAATTCAGTTTTCACCCTAATCACAATTCGATAATCAAGTAGCGGTTACTAACGCATTTATTATTATTGGTGGTGTGTTTTTATTTCAGGGAGATTTTGTTGCATTTTTATTTTGTAAAAATGCAATCCTCATGGTTGCATGCGGAGATACAGGTAAAAGTTTTTGCGTTGTAGTGTGTCATAGTTACGTAACAACAACCTCAACTTTGCACGTTAGCCAATCCGTTACTCTGGGAATTGGGATCTCATTGAACAAAGTGTGATTTGACTGCAGTTGGAATGAAGTTGGAATGATGAGGGTGAGCAGAGTGGTGGAAATGGCAGGAGTATATAGAAGCGGGTGTAGTGGTTTTTGGGAGTACTGAGCAGCGGGAATGTTTGGAGGAGTTGCACAAATGTGTAATGGGGTTGATCTGCGATGGCTTCCAGACATGGAAGAATCGACTGAGAAGAGATTTTCTGTTGAAACACAAAGTACGTAGTCAAAATTCCTATCATTAAGCTGAAGGCCACCGGCCCTATATGTAAATCATAATACCACCTCTTGTTACAGTGTATTTTAATTTTCTCAAAGCTAGTTATAGTGTGACCTATGTGTTACAAAATTTGGGTATTATCATTGCTTGCATAGGCAAGTAGTGGAAACTTACTACACTGTTTAGAAATTCCTGTTGCCGAACATGTGTGACCATTCAGGAGCAGCCAAGAATCTAAACGCCGGTAAATCGCCTTGTCTGGGACTTTTTTTAGCAATGGTAACCCACCGTTGAAGATATGGTGAAACATGAATGAGCGGAAAGTTTAGCACACGTCAAGGCGATGTTGTGCGGCTACCAATCGCGCTTCCTCTATACAGACTCAGAAAAATATATGCATCATCTGACTGGCCGTATTGAGTATGTGCGATCCACCTTTACGCTCGAAAAGATCTGCCTCGCCCTTGGAGACAGCAGCTGCAGCGAGTCTTCGACACCAATGATTAGCTTCTCGTCGAGCTGACCCAAGTACGAAGGCGACTCTTCGGTGGTCACCAGTGCGGAAGCCGGTCACGTTGCATCGTGAGCTGTAGAAGGAGCGCAGATCTAGTGTGTGCATATCCTGTGAAAGAGGGAAAAAAACAAAGAAAGGAGGGTCCGCTATGGTAACGATATTATCTGCCCCTTGATACATTCTGTTGCAAGTCAGTTCCACGGATTCACGCAAGTAGACGGAAAGCTTTAGCAAGGGACACTGACAGTCACGCACTTTTAGCACAAAGTCACAAGAAGCTTCAAATAAATATCTGAGAAAAAAAGATTCGGATAGCTTTTGAACAAGGTAATAATGATAGTTACAGTAATTATTGGACATGTGAATAATTTAGGTATTTTGTGTCAGTTTAAAGGCTAACTCATGCGTCAATTGCATTTGCGAAGTATTTTGGTTAAAACTATTCTAGTTGCAAGGTCAAAAAAAAACTGTCACAACTGGATCCATATCAAGAGCGCCAATGTAGGAAATAATTTTCAACACCGAGGGCTCTTTAATATGTACACAAGTGCATACATGGGTGTTATTGAAATCAGCCCGCACCAAAATATGGCCGAAGTGACCAGGACTCAAACCCACGTTCTTAACTTAGCATCACGGGATCTTACAGGTCAAGCTAACACGAGGGTTGCTTGGCAAAAAGGGTGTAATAAAGACGTGAATTTTCGTAACGTTGTGGTTAGATACTGAAATATCACTTTTATATAATATGGTTACCAATACTGATGGTGAGTTATCTAAACAGAAGGAACGTAGTACTTAAATTATTATACAGACATACCTGACTGTAGGCACTATTTCGTTAGCCTGCATATTTTTTTTTCATACGAATGTGGTAAAGAAGCAGGGAGATTTTCAGATAAACTCCAGAAACTTTAAATCTCATTACTTGAATGCGATACATTAATGTAAATGCAACATTTTTCGGAAATAACAAGAATCTATCTTTGAGTATACTTAGTCACAAAAACATGAGAAGTAAATTAATAATTGTACCTCCAAAACAGCGGCAGCCTGCTCTCAAGAAGTTATTACCTGCAAAGCCGTTCAGCCATTACTACATGGCATTCTCATTTTTTATCTATTTACACCTCCTTACGTATTCCGCAGTGCAGGTTAGCAATGTGGACATTCATCCTCCGGTTAGCCTGCCTGCCTGCTTTCCACCTTAGTTCTACGTCTGTCTATCTCCTACTTTCTTTATTATCCAAGGTGCCCCCATGTAATAACTGATTTACAATCGTAATACTTCGAGGCACCTAAATCTGCCAGGTATTTCTCACAATTTTACCGAGAATTATTTTCATCCTGTTTAGTACTTTTATTTCCTAATATTGGATTTGATTACGTGCTTGACAGCTTGTATGATAGAGTGATCTGCCCCTGAAAAATTCACTATGAAGGCTACTTCATCCGTCAAATATATTTTTGGAGTTTGTTAGCTAAGAATAATCCTTTACAAACCTGGGAAAGAGTCAAAATTGCATGTTTCCCACTCGTTTTACATTCAAGTCAAGTATTTTTTTCAACTACGCCGTTCTAAGAGATCCCGCAAATCCACCGTTTTTCTGTGAGTGAGAACCTTGTCCTTCACCTTGCAGAGAGCAGCTAAAAACCATGCTGCCGCCACTGCTTTAACTCGTTTCAAAGTGCATTGCATATGCCGCCACGGAAATTCACATGCGTTGGACGTGCCATCACGTTTACATCCATGCCATCGAAATATTAGTTCTCGAAGAGCCAGTCACCGTGAACAGTTGACAACACGCACATGTGCAGTGAGAATGCAGACCCGCATTCTCACTGCATGTCTGCATTAGTTTCCTTTCGAAGAGAGAGAGAGAAATAAACGTCCGTGGTGTTGGGTGACATCGTGCTTCCCTAGAGCCTTTCTTCATGGTGAAATGATAGCCCCATGCCGTATGTGAGGCATTGAAGTGTCCCACTATGACGATCTTGTGCCCTTTTGTGCGTTTCCTGAGTTCTCGTACGAAGTGGTTGATATTTGGTAGTTGGTCTTGAGGGGGGGTGTACACGTTGGCTATGAATAGACATTTCTGCCTCTTTCATTCTGGCAGAAGTTCTACGAGGGTGTTGCTTTCCTGGTGTGCGATGATTTGGGGTTAGTTAGACTTGATGAATTCTTGAAGGCTCGTACGTCGTGGACAGTACGATCTGAAGTTCCATTGCCATATGCGTAAAGTTGATTGCTGTGTTTTTAACACATGGTAACGGCTCGCCATCTTCGATTGATTCGACGTCACGTCGGCGATCGCGAGTGGGCTGAGCAAGAAGCGTTGTGGCTGTTCACCCGCGCCTTTCTCCGATTGAGTTGGCGTGAGTTGCCGAAGGTATCTAGCTGTGCCACGGTGACATAAGTTTCGAAGAAAATAAGATATTTTGTTGGCTGTCAACTACAACAAGCGAATTTACCCGTGCTAACCCTAACAGAATTGTGCACTATAGGCAGTGACCCTTTCTTTTAAAAGCTGAAACTTTATAAAATAGCAATGCAGAAATTTCTATCGAAGGAATGCAGACACATAACGCTGACATGCTGAAAGCTCCCGCCTGCACAACTTTCTTTCCAAACAGCACCTTCTCCGAAAAAGGGGCTGGTGGGCGAGGTGCACGCAGTGACGCCACGCTGTTATAAAAGCAGGGAAATGTGTAATGCAGCGTGCGGCAAATCTTTGTAACTCCGCGCTTACTGAACAAATTCTAAAACTTTCCAATACTTAATTTTTAGGCAATAACCTCATTCAGTGAACAAAATCTGTGGCTGTTTCGAAAAAAAGTTTTCAGGGGTTCCTTTAACTAACAGCGCATGCGTCTGCCTTCAAATGCGCTCTAGTTGCTACGAAAGTAGATGGCACTTACCAAGAACGTTGTAATGTAGTTGTGATATTCTGTAAGCATTCCGACATCCTGGGCCTGCGTGTAAAAAGACACAAGTGGTCAAAACGCTCACACAGAAGTTTCGACATGAACTGCTCATATCAAACAGACAGTATGTGATTGTGGTTAGGTTATCGGATACATACGATAAACTGCCCAAACAGTGATTTCTAGAATACGAACAAAGTAATCAAGTGCTAGTTTGAGGGGGTATTGCTTTCTTTATTATTACCAGAAGGGATTACATTGTGGTCTATTTCTATTCAAGGTTGTCGCATACCAACAGCTCATTTAAAATACTCTTATTCCACAAAATAAAAGTGGTGCCTAACTAATATGTACATATGGTTTAGTACGATCAGCATTACGCTAGGATGCAAGCATGATCAAGCCATGCATTCCGTTAGCAGACTTCTGCCAAATGATCAATCTTTGATTCTGATAGTAGGCCTGATGTGAAGTGTCTATGAGAACTCGGGTTCACATGGTATAGTAAACATACTAGCGTTAAAAAGATAAAAGGAACTTGCGCATACTAATGCTCCGAGGTGGTACACAAAATCAAAACTTATCGTGTTTAGGGAGTAACTTCTCAGTTGTAATCATTTGCCACATTACACTGCTGCGGAGGTAGGAAGCCATGAGAGATTTGAGAGTTGAAAAATCTAACCAACCTCCTACTGGTTTCGCGATTCACTTCAAATCGCGCAAAGAGATTTACAACTTTCGAGGCGACCCTCGTGCTTATCTTAGGTGTCTTCTGGTAACACTCAACCATCATCATTCTTCTGTCCTTCTGCATTCATTTGAATAATTTTGTGTTTCTTCTTAAACACCTATAGTGCACAGAAACGACAGGAAGACGGGGGTGCGACCCAGACAGGTGTGTGCTATAGGCGGTAATTTAGAATACCGACAAGCCCAGGCTCAGCTTATTTGTGATTCGCATGCTGCCAAAGCGGATCGCAGAGCGATATTTATAGCGCGAAAACAAAACGACGACACAGAGACAAGAAGGACACAAAAGACACTCCTTGTCTCTGTGTCGTCGCTTTGTTTTCGCGCTATAACTATCATCATGTCATACCAACTAGCCCAAGCTGCCACACTTCTAAGATCGCAGGGGTCACATTGAAAGGCACGTGTGCTAGATCTCTGCTCCGGTAGGTGCGACAACGATCTCATCTTGTTGCAATATTCCAATAACCTTAAGAAATGAGTTTTTATAGCAAAACGAAAAAGCCCAAGACGCCATCCCAAAGGCGAAATTAGACGTTGCGTGTGGTGTCCCACGGGGTATAGGAAGAGTAATACAACAAAAATCTTCACACGATGACGCAACCATGAGAAGTATTGAGTACGTCAGAAATTGAACGTCCCTATGACGTTCACTTAACATCACTGTGATGTGCCGCCCCATCATGCCACCCTCAAGTGAAATTGTAGAAGTCGTGAGTTGGTAAAAGTTTGTCCGATGACGCAGGCAGTGTGAAACCACATTGCTGAAAGCGTTCGAAGAGTGGCGGGTTCATATAAACACACTAAGTAAGAAGAGAAGCAAGTGACCATCCATGCATTCTGTACAAATGGTTAACCAGCCAAGCTGAAAAGTGCTGTCCCGCTGTTGCGAGGAGTCGTTTCTCGACAACATTGAGCCTGAACAAATGCAAAAGAATCAATGGATAACACTACTCATTTATGGTGGTTAAATTTGAACGGCTGCTATTGATCAGCGATTCCTTGCACATACCACAGACCTGAAGCTGAGCGACCTTGGCAGGAGCCGGAAACCACCGTATCAATACCTCTATGGCATTGCTTCATTGCTGCAGACGCCGCATCCCGTCAATCTTTGCCAGGTTGTTTTCGAACCCTAGGCGGTCACAGACGTCGTAGCTGAAGAAAAGGTGCCACTGGAAAAAGTGCCGCCAAAAGCAGACGGTTGCCCGGCGAACGCGCTTTCGCAGTCATCACGTTGACACTGTTGTTGCTGCAAAGCCGTTTGTTGGGCGCGCCTTTGTTGCAAGATTTGATACGGTGAGCCAACTTGGCGGCGTGGTTTGCAGCATCTGCCCGTCACCGGTACATGTATTCTCATTCGCGATTTAGCACGGCTTGGAAGGCTGCCGGACCGTTGGCTGCCGGACCGTTTGCGAAAGGATGGGCGGACGGTAGGATGGATGGATGGACGGACGGACGGACGGACGGACGGACGGAGAAACAGACAGACAGACAGACAGACAGACAGACAGACAGACAGACAGACAGACAGACAGACAGACAGACAGACAGACAGACAGACAGACAGACAGATAGATAGATAGATAGATAGATAGATAGATAGATAGATAGATAGATAGATAGATAGATAGATAGATAGATAGATAGATAGATAGATAGATAGATAGATAGTTAGATAGATAGATAGATAGATAGATAGATAGATAGATAGATAGATAGATAATCAAAATTCGTGGGGTACGCAAAAAATGCTTCGCGTTCAAAACAAGCAAGGCCGCCCAGTCCAGTGCTCTTCAAGCTTGAAACCAATAATTTGAAGCTCTCTAGGTTTAGTTTCTTGTTTGTGCTGCATATACTTCACGATAAGAAAGTTGTGTAGTGCCTTGACTAGATTATAATAACTAGCATTGCTCGGTCATTGTTTCTCATGTCAATTTGCACCTCTTTGGTTCAATTACAATTCTTCTTTACAAAGCATTGTTATACCTTAAGATATAGCTATAAAGAAACATGCTTCGTCATAAACGATGAGTAATAACTCATAAAGAAAGAGATACATGCCAATCTGAATACTTGATACTTTGTAGCGTTCAAAGAGCACGAAAAAATAAATTGAGAAGACAGACATATTGTGCATTAAGTTTTGTTGTAAAGCTTTGTACATTCTCTTTGCTAGAGTTGCATACTTTTTATTTGTCTGTGTAACCACAGCCTAACTGCAACATCACTGATTGTATTAACGACGCAACCAAGTTGTAGTTGCAGCGCAACTACGAAAGCAAGAAACAAAGAGAGGAAAAAGCGCTTGCTTAGGCAGTTACGCTGTAGTTACTACTTGTTTGCACTGTTTGTATATTCAGTCATTTCCTGCATATTTTCCCGTTTGCACGCTTCATATCCGCAACATGTTATTGTTATTGGTGCTTGACAATTCAAAACCGCAACATGTTATTGTTATTGGTGCTTGACAATGAACAGAAAAATAAACAGAGCAGTGGAAATGCGTGGTTACTTCATTAAGATATCATCTGAAAGACAGTGTCACGCCTGCAGATTGAAAGCCCTTTTTCGAGTGCCAATAAACCTCAGGAAATGAAAACAAACCCCTGACACCTCCAGTTTGACGACAGGTTGCGAAGTGAGAAGATTCTGCGTCCCTTTTACTTATGCAAAGGTAATATATAATTTGCTTTTGCTTCTAAGACACGTCAAGGTATAGCGGAAGGGCCACATCTGTTGAAGGCACTCTCCGATAAGTATTGATCGAATCTTTGTGCTTGGGCAACTCCCGTCACAACAACAATTTCTTCACATCTCTTGGAAGTTGTTTACCTCATTCGTATTGTATCTTTTCATTGATATCATGCGTTTTGTTTTTGAGCTTTTGTGCGCTGCCATGCCCTTCAACAACATGTTTGGTCTCGACAGGCGTGGGAAACAAGTTGAAGGATACATATAGAAAAATATGACCAAATTATCCTTGTTCTACATGTTCGAAAATTCGGCACTCAAGCTGTCGTTCTCTTACTTATTTTCGGAAATTCTTGTAAATTACAAAGTAGAAGGCCGCGATAAACATACTTTTGCTGCTCCTTTTAGCTATCAAATTGCGCCGCGCTATTAGACTGTTCCACAAACGCAGCCAGGCGTACAAAAGTAATCTCGTTTTCTTGTGCGTCAGATTTAAATGTGCATATTTTGAATGCTTTTATTATCTAGCATTTTTGAAAGAAGTGGGGTCTGGTGCGTCATCACTATACATTTACATGTCTGTCATTATTGAAGTTAAAAGTGTACACAATGTAGTCCAAGTACGAACTGCCTTGTATTTCTAAGTGCTTTCTTGTTGTGCCACTACAAAATTTCTCCTGTATTTTCTATCTCAGACATTTCAAAATATATCTCTTTTTAGTGCATATACTAAGGCTTCTGTTAAGCTTATATAACCAAATGAAAACAAGTTTTTGATCGTGTTTTCAAGGTCTTTTTGAATCAGCGGCTCTATTGTTTCTTTTTATTGGTTAGTCTAAACACCACAAGTGTTAACATTGGGTAAACCAAACGCGTCTCAGCTCCTCTACCGTGTGAAAGTTTCTTCGGCCTGTTTCTTTAACACCACGTCTACTCTTTCAGAACCGCAAACCATAAAACTTCACACCGGCTATTCAATGGCACTGGAAGGTAGGAGAATAATTCACTCCGTTGGCTCACCTGTGTTAACATTACCGCGAATTTTCTAGTATTTTATCTCTGCTGACTAAACTGGTGCACTCTAAAAATTTGAAGAGACCACTACAATGTTTTAGTTAAAGAGCTCGTTTGAAAACACATCGCCTTTACTTCTCCGGGCAATCGAAATACCCAAACAAAGAACAATGACATATGCTTGGGTGTCTGGCAAGTGGAGCGGAAGGGTTTCAAAATTGTGCAAGTGAATGGCGAACAAAAAACGCAAAAATATTATTAAAGGGGGAAGGCGGAATGGGTTAGTTCAAAATAATCGAAAATTTAGCCGAAAGAAACATAAACAAAAAGGGCAACACATCTACACAATGCGAACTGTCGAAGGGGTTTTATTGAAAGAAAATACACAGACTAGTCCAAAAGTCACGGGGTTAAAAGGTCAAAATCATCAAAGTAGGTTTTCTTCAGTGCTAGGGAAAGCAATTTTAGTAGCATGCAACATGCCGAATGGCTTCAATATGTATGTCTCACCAGGTCTGTTAATAACGAAAAAAAATCGGCAGATCTAACGTACCTGGGAATCAACGTTTTGCGAAGCATGCGAGGGAAGG